CCCCCCCCCCCCCTGCCACACCACCACTACTATCGGCTGACAAAACACTGATGCACTGCAGAAGCAAACTACTGTTTTTCTACATTATGCCACACATAGAGGGACACTTTACTATAAATCAGCGTCAAGCCAAAAGGAATTAACAAAGCTTCTAAACTAAGACTTTTCAAAATAAAACTCCATCACAAAAGCAAGCTCGCCAGTGTTTCAGCCACAGCCTCTCTATACTACCCAGCACTAGCTCAGCACTTCTACACGCCCAGTTATTCCCTATTTTAATAAAGACATGTTCAAGATGTTTATTTTGAACCTGGAATTAATTGACTTTCTCTATGGTTAGGTCCAATTCTGGCTCACTTGTCGCAGCTCAGCACCACCACCTCCTCCCTGTCACAGACAATGAATGAAGCCAGTTTAAGGAATGGGCAAGCCCAGGACCAGTTCAGGCTGCTCAACACACGTCTATCATGTTAGGCAAAAACACTACGTAGACAGGACACAGGGCAGCATGCCCTCTGGTTGCACCTTAATGTTAGCTACGTTTATACCACTCTGACAATAAAAAGCCGACTAATAGGAAGAGTCGGACCACAACATATAAAATGCTACAGTAAAACAAAGCGACACATTACATAGTATGTACAACAACGCCTCACTTGCATCATGTTTGAGCTTATCTTACCTGCAGGATGCTCAACTTCACTTCCCTGCGGTGTGACCAGGGCTTCAAGTTCTGCGTCAAGTCAGCCGAGGTTCTTCATGGCGAGACAGGAAATCTGGCCTTCAAAATAAAATCTGAAAGCTGCAACTATGCAACCCTTGGGTGTCGACGAAACTGTGGTTAACTCAAATGCCAAGGTATACAACCTGCTGTGCTACTTGTGCTTCGAGCCCTCTTGTAAGAATTTGCCTTTCACTGATGTTTTAAATGCACAGTTCAACTGTTTTCATCCTGTGGGTCGTGTCTTCATAGCTAAAGGCTACAATTTTAATAACCGGAGACGCCATATTTCATTGTAACCAACTTGATACTGGCATAGCCTATTCAGCAACACGTCACACAGCACAGATAACAATAATTGTGCTCATTTATCGTAACACCTCCAGCTCCCGATATATGGCTCTCTTGCCCCTCCTTGCAGGTAGCTGATGAGACCAGGCGGTGCTGCAGAAGTAGCAGTTAGCCTACCGGATAATAACGTGAATGGTCCAGATGCTCTGGTGGAAACAGGACGGAAAGTATCCTCCTTAAAGTTGATGCTGCACTTTGCCACCGCGCTATCATTCCCACTGTCACTACCAGAGAAACAGTACTTTGCATTTCCGGGCAAAACATTCTAAACAAATATCATGTAGCTTACAAAGCATTCAAAAAGGAAGCATTTGTGGTTATTTAAAAATAACGTCCTTCAGTGCGTACAAAACAACATATATAAACATGCATGTTGCGACACATATGTAAAATAGATAAAGCTGTACTGTGTATAAATAATGGCCAAAGCGTATTTACTACAACATGTCTGCAATTATTCTGAAGGCAAAAATCGTCTTAATTCTGGCTTGTATGTCTTATTCATGTTAACTTGACTACTGCCAACATCCCTCCACAGCTGGAGCGAGACAAACACGCCGCTTCCTCAAACCCACGCGTACCATCGCGAGACCCCGCCCCTTTACAGTAACATTATAAATACAAATTAAAGGAACATCTTAAACCCTTTACTCCACTTTAAACTAGGTATTGACGGTTATCGCCATTATTAGGTTCTCTCCTATTTTTCCACACAGAATTTTGATGTCAGATCTGAATTGATTTGAATATAGAAATGTAAAGTGTAAAACATTTCCTTTGACTAGCTTATACTGTCGTCATAATCCAGGAATGTGCAATATACCCTGCTGTTATTTTGTCCTTGCACACTGTGATAACAGGTGTGACATGAACATCTTCCAGCCGCCTAATGAAGACTACTGGGGCCACCCATTAAACATGTTCATGTGTCAGGGCTACATTTAGCTTGTTTTTACACCAGGTTGCCAGGTGCTTTGAACCCTCCGAGGAGGAGTGGTGCAATTGCTGTTGATGATGATGAAGGGCTCTCCCAAGGCAGGGTCCAGAATACAAACCACAACAGGCAGAGGAGTGTGGTGAGCACCCAATGAGAGCATGGTCCTGTAGCTAGTTCGAGCCTCATTCAGCATTATGTAACCCACCTCATAAAAGGGTACAGGTGTGTTATAATTAGGTTTAATGGTTTCACGTATCAAACGCTTTATTTTGAAAACCGGAAGTTTTATTTTTGTAATCACAGGAGAGGAAGTCGTGCCACTGTGCAAAAGACATAATGTGAAAAACACGGTGTACGGTTAAACGCATGCTAAACAAAGAGGAAAGAAAAAGTCCATAAGAACTTCTTAAAAGAAAAAAAAAAAACTGGAAACTCGTCTTAAGTTCGAGGGAGCTCGAGCTTAACGTCAGACAACCTGAAGGAGTAAAGCTTTAGGTGTTGAAAAACAGAACCCTTGGTCAAGTCTTTTTTTTGATTTCCCTGGCGGGAAAGGAGCATGGAAGATCATCAGCAGCCGTCCGAGGGGGGCGACTGAACCTTGTGTGAT